TTGCCGGGCTCCGCTCCAGCTCGCTGAATAGACGGCAGACGCATTGCAGGCGAGCGAGCCAACTATGCAACAGCTCAGTGGTTCTAATACTACTGCTGGGAGAGCAGCTATTCACTGCTCGGAGTATCACATTATCAGTATTAGCCCCTCATAAGCCTTTCCACATGGTTTATGAAAACAGTGCTCGACATGAACACCCAAAAAGGTGTAACCCTGAAAGAAAAATGTCTTGTTTTTTTTGTTTTTTTCTCATAGATATGACTTCCAGAGTTCTTGAATGTCATTTTGGGACAGCAGCCAGTTTTTTTTTTTGTTTTTTTTTTCTATTTAGACAAAAAAGCACCCCTTGTCAGAAAATATTGACCCAAAAACCCTGATCTTTTGCTCCTGGTTTCGAAGACATTGAACCTTGTTTGATCACTCCAGCAGCGCCTGCACCGTGCAAGTGTGTGCTTGACACGCTGCAGATGAGGAAACATCCGAGGACAAAGTATGAAAAAAACGCCGAAGTGACAAGCGGCCGTTGCGCAACGCCCGGTGGTTGCTTCAGCAGGCTGGATTAAATCAAATTGTCTGAATGTGCTTTTCAGGGATTGCTCACAGCTTGCCTTAGATTTGTCACAGAAGCCATCTCTACATGGCGTAAAGAGCTTTTGTCTGCATTTTGTATATTTTGATTAATTTAATCCCCGTCTGAGCCAAGCTCATACTCGCTCCCGTGCGGTCTAATCTTGACTTACAACATGGGGGGAACAAAAGGTAAAAAAAACAAAAAAAAAACCAAATGCTAACATTATAATAAGTCAACCAGGACCACCCAGATGCTCGGTGAAGATGTGTGTTTGAACGGGATGAAGCAAGCCAAGCAGGCCTCCAGACAATGATCTCACAGCAGGGGGAAAAAAAAAAAAAAAAGAAAAAGATTTTTAGGCTTAGCTCTGCAGAAGTGCTTCATGCGTGTATTTCAGCATCATCAACAAAGACAGCAGATTAAACGTAAACAAACAGAATAGCTCTTCACAACAGTCCCGTCTACCTGTGGAAAGAAATGAAAGCTGAAATGAAATATGTTTTGATCGCAACTTCCACTCTCGATCGCGGTTAACTTTTAATTCACGGTCTACGTCTGGCCGCCAAGCTCCAGCGAAAATAGAACAAAGGGCCGCAGACGCATTGATACCGTATATTTGGAGTTTTTAAGTGTCCTGTCCTCGAGGAGAGTCTCTGCCAAACTTGCCCCCCCCCACACACACACACCCCGGAGGATTGCGAAACGCTGTAACTTAGCACGAGCGCAAAGGCCCCGGCTGAGTGCAGACGATAATGATGATCGCCAAGACCTTGGCCTGGAGATTGAGAGAGCGCGCCTTGGCTGCAGATTCTCTTCTCCCTGCTCTTATTCCTGTAAATTCTGTGCTTTTGCGAATTTACAGGAATAAAAACTCTTAAAGTTGTAATGCTTTCTTTTATAAAGTAGAAGCTTATAAGAGCAGAGCGGCCTTGGAAAATCTGCGCCCTTTCACACAGTTTGGAAAAACAAGTAAGGGAATATAGTTTGACACTTTATTCCCTAATTCCATTATCTAAATTTCCATCCATCACCTGGTTTTCGTGTGATGCAAGAGCTGCCCCAGATTTATAACTTTTGCATTTATACTTTGACCACTGGATAAAGTACAAACTTTTAACTTAATTTAAAAATGTACCAGAACCCTTACAGCGCCGCTCCCCGCCTGTGCTGAACCTCTAAATCGAATAAGGATATCGGGCCCCTGGCCATGCCTCTGGCTGCAGGTGAGAGCCTGAATTCCTCGGCCCCACTAATTGCATTCAGGAAACGGACACGTTTAGTAAAGCTGAAGACGGATAAATTATGCGAGCAGACAAAACCGGTGAACTGCACCACCTGCCCCCCCTCTGGCATATCCTCTCTTCACACACACCTGCCTCCTGCTATGTCAGATCACACAGATATTTCTCTTGGGCTGAACGCCAGAGAATGAATAGAGTCGGCTTCCATTTCTCCGTGCGTAATAGTTGGCATTTCCGCTCCCGGCTCCTGCACCCAAACTCCCTGGTTTAGTTTTGTAGGTGACGGCCCGGAACGGTGCGGCAGTAGCTCGTTCTGCTCCGCCGCTGAAGCGCAGTTGCGTCATCCAGACACTGACCGCTAATCGTTAGCTGCAAGCTGCTGCTCGGAGGGTAGGGAAAAAAAAAAAAAAAAAACACACACGCACAGAAATACCCTCCTTTTCAAAAATATAGAATTCACTTTGACTCATCCTTTAGTGTTGTAATTACGCCCTGCAAGGCACGCATCAGCAAACTCCCCCACCTTGTGTCAAACAGACGGGGCTTCTGCAGAGTTTCATGTCCCAAGGCTCGGATTCGCTGTCGAGTTTGCGAGGGGGATTTTCACACTCTTGAGACGAAGGTTAAAAGCAGCGACGTTTCTGCTCAGCTCTGGAGGAAGACTTTCCAAGAATAGAACGATATGAACTGTTCTGGAAACGCTTTGCAGCTTGAAACTGTTCTTTGTTTGTTTTTGGCTGCTGGCAAACCTGCCTCCAGGTTGCTTTGTTCTGTCTGATTTGACTTCACGCAGACAAGTAGTGCTGTTTATGTTTACATGCTGAATAAATGCGGTGGCTTTTAACTGCAAGTTTTGGACGAGCTAGACTACAAAGTAATGAGGACTTTCCATTCAGAATATTTTACAAGAACAGTTTGTTTCTTTAAATCGTGCCTAAGTAATGTTAAAACTGATTACTCTTAAATTGTTATTTTTATTTTACAGATAATTAATTTTTCATTTGGCGACCATTTAAAATGCTGTTTCTGTTTGGCTCTGATCAGTCATGTCTGTGTTTGGGTTAGTTAAGATTGCCTCTTGTTTTAATTGTGTCACACTTAATAAAAAAATAAATAAAAAATGCACCAGAGCTACAAGAAGACTCAAACTGAGATATTTTTAGTATTGGTGGCGACATTTAAAAATGAAATTAAAACATTTCTATAACTTCTCACCAGGACGTCTGAGGTTTATTCTGGGTGTGAGCTAAATTTGCATTGTCATTTTTCTAAACTCAGTTTCATAGTGACTGTGCTCTCACACATGTTGTGACATCATCTTTGTTTAACATAAATAAATAATAACCTCTCAGAGCAAGAAAGTTCATTAAAATATATCTTCTATTACACTTCTTTATGTAAAATTGATATCGGCAAATTAAAAGTATTACAAAAACCTCTTAACGGAAGTCTTCCACAAAAATTCAGATTTTTACATCTGTACCTATCGATCAGAAACGAGCACAAACACGCCTAAACCCTCAGTGATCATTTGAGATCTCGGTTTGGTCTCCCGATCTGTACCCCTTGTTCTTTGACATCCTGTCTGCAAAATGAGAAATCCTTGAACACGCCGCCTAATCTCTCCTGGGACTGTCACTGGGTGGGGAGCAAGGATTTTCTTTTTCCTCTCTCTTTATGTCTTATTCCTCTTCTCTGTAGTAAAAGCAAACGCTGGCTGCCAAGTAGTGCAACTTTGAATAAATGTACAGTGGAAGAGACGGAGGAGGGAAGGGCTGCGAGGACTTGGGTAATAAAAATGAATCATGAGCCACTGGCTCCATTTTCTAGAGTAACAGAAATGTCATGAAGGACAATTAAGAGATATTTAATATATACTATTACATGTAGAGACGAAGCCAATCACGGGGAATTTCAAAGTTATCTAAGGTTTGTTTACGATGTCTTTACCTTTTGTGCAACCTTCTGTGACCTCTACACCAGAGCCTGAAATCCTTCCAGTATTGATTCACTTGTTTGGTCTCCATCATGCATTACAATCCCAACTGTGAAACCAGACTTAGTGCAGGAGCAGGGTGGAGCTCATCAGAGCCGAGTTACATAACCCTGAGTTTTTATGACCTCCTTTACTGCCTTTGTAATAGACATGAGTTTTTAAACTATACTGGTTTGAGGGAGGGAGGGGGGGAAAGAGGACCAAAGAAAAATAGTCTAACTTTCAATCCAGTCATTGAGGCAGTCGGATAGTAAACCCACCAGCAGAGTCAGCTGTTTTCACAGCGCCTCACAATACGCTTCTTTGTTGGTTCCATATGAGAGGGGCTTTGTTCGGTCGGAGGCGAATCTGTGGAGGTTTCAGCTGCAGCTGAAAGCTCAGGAAGCGAATGTGAATAAAGCTATTAATCTCAAACTTCCAGCGCTATCATGTGCCCCCCTTTTGACGCTTGGCGTAGCCCCGGGGTTTGCTCGCTAGTCTCCGTCTGTTGTCAACTCGAGCTTTGGGTTGATCGGGCTTCAGGTGCGAAGGTGTTTTTGTGGAAAAATGATTTGCTCCTGCCCGTTTTCTTTCCCCTCTCCTCCTTCTCCTTCCCAGATTGCAGGGCTGGGCAGGGTAGAGTCTGTTCTCATCTGGTTTTTATTTAACCATCAGAGGTTTTCCAACTCAACTCGACCTCAAAGCAATTAGAGCGACGTCTTAATTCCCCTGCCTCTTCCTTTTTTATTCCTGCCCCACCGTGTCCCTAATTCCTCCCTGATTGCCTTAAAGATGGCTGTGGTCAGACCCTGTAGAACTGCCCTAAATTATTGGAAGAAGGGCGGTGATTGAATGCACCAGCTTTCCTTTGATCTGCTGTGATTCCCTCCTAAAAAGAAAAAAAAATGGACACAGACGTCCAAAAGCAATAAAGTGATTGGAGCCATCGCCACTTTGTTTATGCGATCAGAGCGAAGGCTGCCCAGGCTTCCCTTTGCATGCGAAACTACATCAATGAGTCTGTAACTGCTGACGGTGATGAGTTTTTTTTTTTTTTTTTTTTTTTTCTCTTTTACCAGCAGCTGACTAAAAAGATAACAGCTTTGAAAGCTGTCGACTTTCGATTGCATTCTTGGAACTGGCAACCTATATTTAAAACTTCTGATGACAAAGACAGATTTTTTTTTTCTTTTCAAAAGATGCATTTGATCATTTTCAACAGCGTTCCTCTTTCTTTTTCTGTACATTTACCTCTTAACTGGCAGTTTTACAACCGTCTAAATACTGGATTGCTGCAGCTCGACTGTGAACGTCCCCGCTAATCCTTCCCCGTTCCCTTTTTCTTTTCTCTCGAAAACCACAGCGACGGCTTTGGCCGGGTTGGACATGATGCCGGGACAGATACCTGACCCTTCGCTGGCGGCAGGCTCCCTGCCCAGCCTCGGCCCGCTGGCGGGCATCTCGGCCACCACCCTCACCGACCAGCTGAAGCTGGCAGACTTTCACCAGCTGGGCACCATGCTGTCGCCGCTGCATTTCCTGGGGAGGCTGGGGAAGAGGCCGCTGGCCATCAAGACAGAGGTGAGGAAATGTGTGACACAAACAGGACGGATGGGTGAAGCGGCGTTCAGGTCAGCATATATATAACACACAGGGAGTGACTGTCCCCACATGATTGTTTGCAGATGGACGAAGACGAAGAAAGAAGGAAACGAAGACGAGAGAAAAACAAAGTAGCGGCAGCGAGGTGCCGAAACAAAAAGAAGGAACGCACCGACTTCCTCCAAAGGGTGGGTTCATGACTCAGCCATATGTACCAAGTAGCAGCAGAGAAGTTGGGGTCAAGAATAAACTAACTTTGCTTCTCTAAGTTTCAGAAACAGCTTAATGCATTAAAATGACCATTACGGCGTCTGGTTAAGTTTTATTTAACTGGTTTAATTTCAAGATTCGCATACAAACGTTCATTCCATGAATACAAACTCATGGGACAATTAGGTAACAAAACTCCATGAGTAAAGAGAGTAGGAAGAGAAAATATATCTTCTATAGTCTGTTTCTACTCATATTACAAAAACAGGCAACCATCTTTTTGGGAGTTGCCAAAAAAAAAAGTCTACACCGTCTTTTTCAAAAAAGTAACAAAATAAATTTGTGTGATTTTATACTACTTGTCACCATTTTTAAAGATGGAATTGGCAGTGAAATTTTTTTCTGGCTGTGTACTACATTGAAAAGGATAAATTACTTGCAAAATTAGGATTAGGAAGCCATTAAAAACATAAAATAAATATACATATATATATTTTTTTACCAAAGTCAGTACTTTTTCACTCTGTAAGAAACATCAGTGTGTTAAAGTTTACTACTTTCACCGCCTCTATGCGTCTAATGGTTCCACGTCTCTCTTCAGGAATCGGAGCGCCTGGAAACGGTGAACTCGGAGCTGAAGGCCCAGATCGAGGAGCTCCGTCTGGAGAGACAGCAGCTGATGGTGATGCTCAACCTCCACAGGCCCACCTGCATAGTGCGGACCGACAGCGTGAAAACACCCGAGAGCGAGGCCAACCCGCTGCTGGAGCAGCTGTCCGCCGAAACCAAGTGAGGCCCCGGGAGAAGAGCGGACTCAAAAGTCCTGCAAGCTGAACTTTGACTGCCGAGACAGACGTCTGAACAAAAACAAAACAAAAAAAAAAAACATACCTGGCAAAATGATTCTGAATGAGCACTTGAGCTCCAGGCTGGAGACTTTTGCCCAAAGATCTGAGGTTGTGGGGCTTCCTCAGTACTGCTACGAGGAGCTGGCTCTGTCCATTGGGGAGACTGGAAACACCCACTGTGCCTGTCATGTTGTTACTTCATCCATCTTTTCCTTAAAGGGACCAATGGCAGTAGACGATCCGGCTGGAGAACGCCCAGAGGATTGACACTAACAGCAACATGGTGCTCTGTTACCAAAGCCCTGCGTAGATTGACTTAGGAGTTCTGCAGTCTTCCTACGTATTCTAGTCATATTACAAAGGTGTAGAGCTTTTAGGTTACAGCACCCAGTACAAAAAACACACCAGTGGGAGAACAGTTTTTTTTTTTATTTTTATTTTGTATTTTATACCCTGCCTCGACGACGGCAGGTACCGGTTGATCCGATTCGTGGTGGCGCTGGCGTCATGAGAAGCACATATTCACAAATTGTTTACACACTTATTTTTTAGACTTGTGTTTTCATCATTGTACTTGTTTTATACGGCTTTGTATACATGAAACATACAAAAATGCTTTGTTAATCACTTGATGTGATTTTTGTCTTTTTTCTCCCCCCGTCTTTCCTAATCTGTCAAACAGCTGCAAGAAGAAGCAGCTGAGTGTCTGCATCTGTATCTATGTACGAACCTGCATATCCTGAATAGATTAAAGTTTATTTTCTAACGAAGAGGAAGTACATGCCATTGTTTTGTTTTTTTTGTTTTTTTTATACTTCTGATAAGCAACCGTTTCGAGTTTTCTGCAGAGATCTGCTATCATGACACCATCACTATCAAATATCAAACGTTGGGTAATCACGTCTTTTTCTTCCATGCAGGCGTATTGCCAGAATCGGGTCTTTACTTTGATTTTGCACAACTCCGAGAGGGACGCTTTCATTTCCTTCTCTTTTGATTGCTTCGTTTTTATTCCTGGATCAGCAGAGAAAATGTGAAATGTGCAGACACGGCAGATGTTTGACTGACTAGGATCACCTATCACTCTACTACTTGCTGCCAGTCACTGATTGCCTCCACCAAGATATTTTGAGTAAATTCTCTTAGCTGAAAGCTTATACAGAGTGGCTGGTGTCCAGAATTTCCGACTGCGCTTTTATGGAAAACAGATACAATTCAGCTGCAGAAATCATTACATGAGCTCAAGAAACCCTCTGAAGGTCTGTCAGCTTCCTGCTTTATCCACAAATCCATATGAAAGCCACAGTATGGAAAGGAAAGTTATCGCAGCTGACTTGCATGGGGCCAATCTAATAGTTTAATCTGCATTAATATGATCATAGGTTTTTGCAGTGAATCTATACTGCTATCAGACAATGCAGCCTCTGTTGCATCTTTCATTCCTGCCTAAACATGTGGTGTCATGGCTTGCCGCCCAGCCAGCATGCACGAGTCGCTGCCCCGGAGTACGAAGAGAGACGCATTTCAGGTGTCGCTTGCAGAGTAAAAAAAAACCCGCACAAACAGATGAGGGATGGGGCCACTGAAAAGCAGAAACGCTACACTGGAAGGGAAAGGTAGTCTGCTTTCAAAACAATTTGCATCTCGGTTCCCAAAACACGGTCCCAACGCAAAAACTCCCTGCAGCTCGGATCACACCGAAGCAAATTATTTGCATTTAATAAACAAAACGCAGACAGACTGAATAGCAGATCAAACTACTGCATATATTTAATATGTCTCAACTGCAGCCACTTATCAGCAGTTCAGCGTTTAAACAGCTGGAGGCAGAAGGCTGTGTAGCCATCTGGTGGTTCTGCTTTTAATGTGGTACTGTTAGTCTGATGGCAGCAGTTTAAAAAAAAACAAAACTGTATGAAGAAAGTGTGACGGGTTTTTGTTAGTTTTTGGATCCATGTTTCTGTAGCAGATGTGAAACAGGTCCTGGATATAGACAACAGAGAGAGACGGCACAATGACCTTTTGCAGCTCCATCATCTGACAAATCACACTGACTCTTCAGATTTCAATTTTTAATCTAAGTTATGGCATTTGAGTCAGGTTGTTCAATCTGTATGTTGTCCAAACACTCCTGAAGTCTAGTTAAAAGGATCCTTCATAACTACTTTTGGTAATGGAACCATTACCAATGGTATTGGAATCCCATCACATATCCTGTTACAGGAGATGAGGGGACTTTTTTAACTTTTATTTTACGTGGATGTAGAGATTTTAGAAAGTGTCTCTCTCCAGTGGTCATTTCACAATAAGCAGGCCAGTTAACGAGACAGTCATATTTCTTGGACTGTGGGAGGAAGCGAGTATCCGGAGAGAACCCACGCATGCGCGGGGCGAACACGCAAACTCATTTTGTGTGTTACTGTCTGAAAGTAATATAATACAATACAATAAAAAAAAAAAAAAAAAAAAAAAAAAAAAAGGCCTGACGGTCAAGATGAGCATTATGACGGGCAACATCGCCCTCTAGTGGACACTGTTGGGAACTTCACACAGGAAACAACTGTACAAAAGATTGATTTTGAAACAGATGACTTTTAAATGTCTTTTTTCTTATTTGACTTTTGAGCTCTTTCATAAGGACAGGTTGTTGTTTTTTTTTTTTTCTGAAATTTGCATTTATTTTTTTTAACATTGAAATGAAAAAGGTTGAGCAGGTATTGCTTTATGTTCTCCAAAAACAGTTTTGGAGGAATTTTATTTGGTCACTAAGGATTTCATTAAAAGAGACATTGCCTCCAGCACGTTTCGGGGGGTTGCCTCTCCTGGTTTTCTCTTCCAGAGGGATTTCCCTGACACAAAATCCCTGCTCGCGTCAGAAATCTTAGAGGAACCAAAGTTCCTTGAACATCTCATCTTGAGCCTCCAAGCTTACTCTTGCAAACCCGAAGGTGAAATTCTCTGTTTTCTAGTTGAGAACCATTTCAGTTTTCGTACAACAAACAGTTTGGTAATATGAAGCGTTTTTTTAATGTTGTCTTGATCTGGGCATTTTGGACTAATTAATAAGCATTTTAAGTTTGTTTTGCACCCCCATGTAATTGTGTTTTAGATCTATTTTGTATGCCACCGACTTCCTTATCCTTTCGTTCTTAGTTATTGTTCCCTTTTCTTGTGGTTTTTATCTCCTTTTCCTTCCAGATGTGACAAATCAGACAAAGAGCTAACTCTGTGTAGAGTATTCCCTGTAGGCCGGTCAACATTTGTTGAAGGCATATTTCTGCTCCAGCTTCGAGTCTGTTGCAGACCTTTAACAGGTTTTCCTCCAGGACTGTTGCGGACACGTGAACCTCCGACACCAACCAGGCTGCGTGGCCCCTCACGGTCCTGGGTCCGCCGCTTCGTTCTCCGAATCCGAAACAATCTTCAGGTACGACAACTGAACAGGAGCGCGAAGAAAAACGGAGCAAGGGGTCCACATCAAAAGAGGCGAGCGAGGCGAAGAATGGGGCCAGATGCTGCTGAATGAACGCTCTGAATGAAGCAGTTTGTAAAGGAAAGAGCAGGCTCATGAATAGGGATGCTCAGCATTACTTATGCAGGCGCTGCAGAGCCGAGATAGAAGGGTGTGTGCTTGGTGAATTGTCTCAAGGTGTGATATCCAATTGGTTTCTGTCAGGTGGCTCAAGTGGCAACAAGGAGACAATGACATGAATGTACCTGTTCTGTGTGTCACGTGTGAAGAATGTGTGCCGTGTGTAAACGGCTTTATTTGTTAAAATTGTTCAACAGTTCAGTACTTTACTAACACTGCGGCCATGAATGTACTAATTTGGAGCTCCAAATGATTTTTTTTTTTACTTTTTTTTTCCCCTAGGATGGAGAGATTTTTTTTTTTAAATAATATTTAAAAGCAAATAACTCTGAATTTATGTTAGATTTTAGAATTCATCATGTAATCCACAGAGTACAAAATTATACAGACAATGACCAAAACCTGCCCATGCAGTTTAGGCATGAAGACATTTTTCTTCATCCTTGTCCCTAAGATCATTTAACATATTCTAAATATTTAATTTTTGTTTTTAATCCATGTGTTAATTTGATGATGTTTTCATTTTTATGGCCCGACTCTGAAGCACTTTCTGGGTCCAACTTGACAACAAATTCAATTTCAAACTGGATTTGAATTAAAAAAACAAAAGAGACTAAGATTAAACTTAGCTTCTGGAAACTCTGCTGAATTCATCAATGATTTTTGGCTGGATAGTTGACCAGATTCCTTAGAATTAGAGGAATTTATTTAGCGACCGATAGCTTTTTGAAAATAGTTTGCAACTTAAAAAAAAAAAGACATATCTGAAACTTAAAGGTACCAGTTGTGATCTGTGTTTTAAATTGCTGTTCTGTTGGATCACCCAGTTTGTATTTTTTTTTTTTTTTGATTTTATGGTCCTCATAGGTCTCACTACATCCACACACAGATTAGCAGGTCGTTTTCCATTTTATTGTTGTCAGCTTCCAAGAATATGTAGAGTATTTTCTCCCCAGTGAATTCAAAAATGATTTTATAGTAGTATGCTTTAATGCAAAACATGAAAAAAGTGTTTAAAACTTAAAAAAATTAAAATAAAATACCCTTTCTTAGACATTCGGGAACAGCCATTTAGTAAAAAAAAAACAAAAAAAAAACAAAAGACATTTATATTACACTGATCATACAGAGTTCTTATAAAATGGAATTGAAATAATTAGCCTGTTTAGAAGAGAAGCAAAACAGAATAATTTAGGTAAATTATCTCTCTGATGTGGCTTAATGAAAACAAACACCTAGCTGCCAATTTCTGATGGGCCATCTTTCATCTGAATGGACACAAAGACTTGAAACCCACGTCTTATTGAGCAGTCTGATTGTAAATTCACAGATTTGGCCAAATTTCCAAGACAAACATAAAAAACCTGCCAACAAAACCTCTCAGATATCTATGCACCCCCGGCACACGCTGCCAATTAGCATGATCTCATAAG